ATGGCAGCATTTATTCACAATAGCTAAAAGGTAGAAACAATCCAAATGTCCATCAATGATAATTAAAATGTGGTACATCCATAGAATGCAGTATTAATATCATTCAGCTATAAAAAGGAATGAAGTTATGATTCACGTTACAAATGTGGATGAATCCTGAAAACATTATGCTAATGGAAAGCCAGACACAAAAGCCCACATATGGGATGATTCCATTGATTTAAAATATTGGAATAAGCAAATCCACAGAGACAGAAAGTTGATTAGTGGTTGCCAAGGGCTGGGGGAGTGTAAGTGGGGAGTGACTGTAAATGCATACGGGGTTTCCTTTCAGGGCGATGAAAATGTTCTGAAATTAGGTAGTGGTGATGGTTACACAACTTTGTAAACATACTAAAAACCACTGAATTATACATTTTAAAGGGCGACTGTTATGGTACATGAGTTATATCTCAATAAAAATCAAATTTTAAGTTTGACAGGAAAAGGATTGAAAAAAGATATACCAGGCAAATATTAATCATAAGAAGTTATGGTTGCTATGTTAATATCAGGCAAAGTAGACTACGAAGGAAAAGCGTTTTAGTACTAATGAATGTCACTACATTTTGATCAAATAGTCAACTTACTTGAAATATATAGCAATTCTCAACTCATATGCACTTAATAACACAACTTAAAAATACAAAAAGCAACACTTGAAAGAAGTACAAGGAGAAACTGGCAAAGAGTAGTTGGGCTCCTGCTCAGACTTGGCTCCTGGGGCTGAGGAAAACTATAGAAATCTCCGCAGGGTGTGAGGGAGGAGATCTGGAGATATGGGTTTGAAGTTTTTATATTTCTCAAAAGGGGCCAGATAGGGCTGAAAAATATTGAAAAACTCTCTTAAAGCAAGAATCTGATCCTGTCACTTGTTCTGCTTAAAACCTTTCAGTGGCTCCCAATGCCCTCTTGAGAAAGTTCACTTTCTAGGCTGATCTGTAGCCACTTCCTCTCACAGGCCCTTCGGCCAACCACACTGGGTTCTTCGTTACTTCTCGTACACTCCACATTTCTTACATTCCCCACCTGGGGCTGGAGATGGAGATAAGGATGCCGGAATGAAGGCAGGGTGGGGCAGAGAACATGTTTGCCATGTGCCCAAACCATGCGTGGCAAGAAGGGACACGCAGCGTATAGTGCCAACGTGGCCACTGCCTGGCCGGGGGTGCCTGGCCTGCCCTTTCATCTCTTGAACAGCCCTGCCTCTCTCCTGGCTTCCCTGGCAATGTTCTCAACTCGCCCGCAACCTACCCCAGCCCCTGCCTTCGCCGAGTCCACCATGCCCCAGCTCCCCTTTCCAGCCCCAATTCAGCTGCCTTGGCACAGGCTCCCTACGTCTCTTGCCTTGTTCCCCACATGGCCCACACATGTCTCCCAGCCACCAGCCCTGCCCGACTCCCGGGCCTTTCCTCACACTGAAGTCTAGAGGGGTCTTTGCAGAGCCCCAATCACATGGTCTATCCCTACCACCGTGGAGACCTACCATGTTAGGTTTAGGTCCCCATCTAACAGGACCTAAAATTGATGCACAGAGGATGTTAAAAGCAACACAAACCACCTGCAAAGCCCAAACTCAAACACAGCACAGCGTCCCTTCTCCTGAAGCACGCTACTAGTTTGCATTCACAAAGGGCAGAGTGGGAAGAACTGCCCACTTGTCTCCTCCATTCCCCACAATTCTTATGGCCCAGGCAAGACCTCAGTTGCATGGAGGCAGGCAGGAGGGTGCAGTGGGAGAGTGTGAGGTCAAATCCTCACTCTGCCACAGCTGTGTGGCTTCGGCTCAGTTACTTAGCCACTGTATGCCTCAGTTTCCCCATACATAAAGTGCAGATGATGGTAATGATAGTAGCTACCTCACAGGTGAAGTTCAAGTTAACACATGTGAAGCTCTTCAAAACAGTGCCTGGCATGCAGTAAGTGCTCAATGAAGAGTCACTGTTAGCATTCTTTTCATTAGAAGGAATAGACTTCCCATAAATATCAGCTATAAAGCTGGATACATATTTGCAAAGAGAAGGATGTCAGAACAATGGGCTCCCCGAATCCCCTTCCTTCTGCCCACTCTGGAGTCACAGCGCTGGAGCTCTACAGCCAGCTCAGGCTCAGCGTCTAACCTCAGCTGGGTAAGGGCACTCTCTGGCTCCAAGCCCTGCCGGGCTCCCCGCTGCTCTAGACTAAGGCCCCCTCCCTCCCTGCCAGGCTTCGGTCTGCCAGTCCCTCCTGCCGTCAGCCTCAGCGCCCTCACAGTGGCGCCCCCAGCTCCCTGGCTGTCTCCCCACCCACACACCACTTTCCACCTTGGGCTAAACCAGTCCTTTCTGTCTCCGGGCTGTGCACCCCACTGCCTAGGTGACCCAGACTGCCCTCCTTGGATGGGAAGGTCTTAGAGAGATGAAGGAGGGGTGCGCCTCTGCCTGACCTGGGGTCTCCCCCTCTTGCTCCGCTCCCAGATGGGCAGGACCTCTCCCCGGAGTGTGGACTTCCCCAGGCAGGATCTCAAGGGGCAGTGGGCGGGAGGAACGGACTTGAAAGGCTGCCCAGGTACTGAAGGAACCAGAGGTGGCTAATGGATGTCTAAAGATGAGACCATGGTGCACCCTGCTGACAGGACGCGGAATTGCACCCTGTGTCCGGGCAGCCTGGAGCTGGGGCCCCAACGCAGCAGAAGCCATCTGGCCACATGCCTGGACTGGAAGAGCTGTGCATCTCTGAGCACGTGCCAATTTCTTCTGGAAGGCTGGCTCTGGCACTGCTGCCCAGGGCTCCTGGAGCAGCCAGCACGCCGCTTTCCCCTTGAAGATCATTCTTTCCATCCCGGTAAAACCACCCCTCCACTAGAGGGCCTCCTCCTGGAGGGCAGGAACCTGGCCTCGTGGGCCCAGCCATGACCAGCACCCGGCAAAGTAGAGGCCCAGCCAATATTTGATGAACAAAGAACAAGCAGGTGTCGTGGAAGCCCAGTGTGAACAACTGAAAAGATGGCAAGCAGAGCCAGCAACACGGATGCTGGTGACGACGTCAATGCCCGCAGATAACAAAGCCCCAGGAGGGGGGCAAGGAGAGGCAGGACAGATCGTTGGAGGTGAGGAGGCCATGGGACTGGCTGACAGGTCCCCGACAGGTGGCTGTGCGTTGGGGAGAGTAGGACTGCAGGCAGGTATGGGAGGACCCAAAGCCTGGGGTAAAGGATGGCCTGGGAGGGCCCCCCCAACCCCAGCCCTGGCTTCCAACCCTGAAGCCCACCCCAGCCTCTGCCCCCAGACCCAGCCAGCCTTGGTTTGGGCCCTGCCACCTCCTTTTGGGTCCTGAAGTTTGACAAGGAGAGGGGTCCTCTCGATCATCCTCGGACCAGGCTACAGGTCATCGGGCTCACACCCTGGGGGCTGGCTGGGGAAGGGGTAACCAGCTTGCCTGGAACTTTGGCTAGGGCCAACGAGTGGCCCGGGGGTCTTCCCCTGATGGGCCTAGGAGAAAGGCCTAGAGGGCCAGGAGAGGCCCAGAGCCCAGCAAGTCAGGCGTCTGGAGCTCTGGCCTATCAGATTGGAGGTTTGAGGGATTGGGACCACTCCAACCAGAGGACAGGCTGTGGCTCTTCACACCAGAGGCCATAACCAACCAGTCACTGCTCCCAGGGGTCCAGCTGCCAGCTTAGATCCACCTGGGCCAGAGCCCATGAGTTCCAAAGCCCCAGCCCAGCACAGGCATGGAGGCCCCCGGTGACACCCTCTCCTGTACAAGGAATCCCTCCTCACCCTCTGACCCTGGGGTTCCCTATCTTTCTGCATAACGAGGTGGTGTCTGGCCAGGAGAAGAGGAAGGAAGGAATGGAGAGCGGGGAGGAGGCAGCAGCCATGGAGGAGACAGCCCTGGGCTCGGGTCGCCCTCCATGCACCTGTGAACCCTTCCCAGCCTACGATCCTGGCTGGGACACCCAGGCCTGGCCCTACACATCAGGGGCACTGCAGCCCATCCCTGGGACCTGGAGCCAGCGCTGCTCGGGCCCCCATTTGGTCCCCTGTCACCCCCTTCTGCTGGTAGCCGATGTTCTCCTAGGGCCACAAGGCTGCGCAGCCAGACCTCTAGGGTGGCAGAGCTGGCTGGCCAGGCTGCTGTTAGCTGGTGCTTTGTGTGTGTGTGGGGGGGGGGGGGGGGACAGGAAGTTCTTGGACAATCGAGAGCTCGTCTGCCCTGATGCAAGGGAGCAGAGGTTTGGGTGGCAGTGGACAAGGTAGCGTGGCGCAGTCCCATTGGTTTCCTTCCCACAGATGACCCCCGTCCCCTCCACACTTGTCCCACACCCAACTCACCACTGGCCCATTGCTCTGTCTTTATTGGTTTGGGGAAAACTCGGAGGGGGCTGGAGGACCACAACACAAGCAAGACCACTCACAGTCAGCAAAGCAGGGAGGATAGCTCCTGAAACGTGTCTGCCCAGGCCTCCTCCGCTTTTGGAGGGGTGGCGGCGGTGACAGGGGAGGGGAGCCACTGCCCCTCAGCAATGGCAGAGCCTGGGGGGCACCCCACCCCTGCCCACACCCACATCTCAAACTCCAGCAGAGGCTAGCTCAGAGTCAGGGGGTGGGGGAGGGGACCAAAAGGGCCCAAGGGAAGGAAATCTGGGGTCGGTCCACTTGGCCTCGGCACCTGCTAGGGGAGAAGCAGAGGGAAGGGGGCGGTCAGGAGCCGCCTTCCACCTGTCCTGTGCCCGCTGCCTTGGTCCTGCCTTGGATCTCACAGAGGCTGTCCAGAGCAGGGCCCTGCTCGCCCCCCACCCCTTTGCCCGATGCAGGGCACCCACTGGCCCTCCTGGGGCCTCCCCTCTGTCTGTGCCCTCTTCCGCCAGCCCTCTGGTCTATGGGCCTCCCCTCCCCCTTAGATCTTGGCCACACGGAGCACCACCACCAGCTAAGATCTCCAAGAAGCCAGCTCCCAGGGGAGAGGGCCCATCCCACACACCTGGGCGTCACCACTTGGGAGGCTGGCCAGCCCGGAGGCCTCCTGGGTGGCTGTGTCGGGCCATACCCTGTTCGGAGGCCTCCTCACCCTCTGGGCTCTGCCCCAGCTTACGGATGTGGTGCAGGAACGAGGTGGCATTGAACGCTCGCTGCAGGAAGAGAGGGAGGTCAGGCCACGTTCAGCCCCAGCCCCAAGACTGCGAGGACCGCGGCAGCCACCAGGCAGCCAAGGGCCTCTCCATGCTGACCTTCCAGTGGGTCCGGGCGAAATTCTTCTGGATCTGCTCACTGACCGAGCCTAGGATGTTCCTGTCCAAGGCTGCATCCCCAGAGATCCTGGGGGAAGGCTGGGGTAAGAGGGGTGGTCTGAGGGGTGGTCCCTCTAGCCCTGGGACAGCTTGACAGAGGTCCCACTCACCAAAGGTGCTGTAAGGCCTGTTGGCAGGTGAACCTCTTCTGGGGATCTCTTTCCAGAAGGTGCCGGATGAAGTCTTTGGCTGGAGCAGGGAGGCCAGCTCAGCTGGCCCCACCCCACTCCCCCCACCACCCTGGGCGCAGGCTGGCCCCAGGCTCACCTGATTCTGAGATGTCATCCCAGAAAGGGGAGTCAAACTCATAGCTGGCCCTCAGTATCTGGCTGAAGAGTTCAGGGTCGCTCTCGTCGTAGAAGGGAGGGTACCCACACAGCCTGGCACCCACAGATGAATCACTCAGCTGTCCCACCCTCCCCAACCCAGCAGGGGCAGGCAGGCAGGCGAGCCTTCCCGGCAGTCACTCACAGGATGTAGGAGATGACACCCAGGGCCCACACATCTACGGCCTTCCCGTAGGGTTTCTGCTCCAAAAGCTCTGGGGCTGGGGGCCAGAGACAGACAGACACACACACACACACACACACACACACACACACACGCACACACACGCCATGCTGGTCAGCACTGGCTCAGCCGATTCAAGCCCAGGAATGGGCCACCCAGAGGTAATAGGTACCACAGACTTCGCAGTCTCCCGGGGTCCCCCAGCCCCATCCCACCGCCCAGCAAGCTTGAAGGTGCCCTCCTTCACTTACCCACATATCCTGGGGTCCCACAGGCAGTGCCTAGCATGTTGCCAGCCTGGATTTTGGAGAGTCCAAAGTCAGAGACCATGATCTTGGAGTCCTCAAACGGGGTGGCATAGAGGAGGTTTTCTGGCTGCAACACATGGGTACCAGAGAAAGGGCCAGGTCAGTCCTGGGATGGCCCTGATGCGGGGACAGAGTAAGGGCTTGGCACCCCCGAGTTCCTGAAACCCTTGGTGGAGAGAGATACTGGGAAAGGTCCCAGCCATGAATCCGGGGAAATGGGCAGGGCCAGGCACCTTGAGGTCCCGGTGCACGATGCCCAGGCTGTGCAGGTAGGAGACAGCGCCGAGGACCTGACCCACCAGGTGGCTGGCGTCCTTCTCCGTGTAGGAGCCGCGCTCCATGATGCGGTCAAACAGCTCACCACCTGTCACCCTGGGGGGAGCCAGGGGTTCAGCTGACCCAGCTTCAGCCCCCACCCCGGCCCCCACACCTGCCCCAGCCCTCCTCACAGCTCCATGGCCAGGTACAGGTGGGAAGGGCTCTCGTGGACATCCTCCAGAGCCACAATGTTGGGGTGACTGACCCTGCAACAGCAAGAAAGAGCCCCTTGTGGGCTGCCACGGGCCCCCTCCAGGACCGTAGCAAAGGGCAGGAGTGCTTCACCCTGGGCCCCAGGATAGCCCCTGTCCCTCTCCTCCTCCTCCCAGCCCCGCTCCCCAGGCCCTACCAGAGGCCACCCTTGCCCAGTCCAGGAGGGCAGACAGACCCCTAGCCCCGAGCCCAGGCCTTCCTTGGGACACACACTTCTAAAGCCCATTTGAAAAGCACAGATCAATATCAACCCTCTAGTTTTGCTGATGCAGGCCCAGACAGGGAAAGAGAACTGCCCCAGGCCCCCCAGCAGGTTGGTGGCCAGGCCTGGACCAGAGCGGAGGGCACATCTCACAGACCAAGGGGCTCCTCTCCTCTCTGCTGCGCACCTGCGGAGCACGGCGATCTCATTCTCCACCAGGGCCTCCTTGCCCCGGAGGGCCTTCTTGGGGATGCACTTGAGGGCGACAAGGTGTGTGGAGCCCCGCTCCTGGGCCAGCACCACCTCGGAGAAGGCGCCCCTGCCGCAGAGCCAGAAGGTGGGAGGCAGGAAGGGAGAGGGGAGAGCGAGAGTGGGGGGGGAAGGGCCCTCCCTGGTCCCATGCCACCACCGCCCCCACACGCCATCTCACACACCCACCACCAAACACACACGCACACACATTCACACACACACACACACACACTCACGAGCCCAGCTTCTCCCGGATCTCGTAGACGCTGCTGATGTCTTCCGTGTGTTTCTTGAGTAGCAGCATGTCTGGAGGGGCACAGGAGAGGTGGAGGGAGGGCCCCGTGGGTGAGGGGAAGCCTCCTCCCCCACCCTCATCCCTCTGCCCTTCAGGGAATCCCCCGCCCCCAGTCACCCCCTCCCCCACCGCCCAGGTCCACACTCCCAGATGGACGCCTCCCACGGAGGCCACCACACACACACCTCCCCATCCCAGGTACACGGCTGCCATCCGGCGCTGCCCCCACCCTGACACCCTGACGGCGACCAGCGCCTGGACTCCCCTTCTCTGCCTCCACACATCCGAGCCAGCTCCATCGGACGCTTTCCAGAAGTCTCCGTGCACCCCCGCCCCGGTCTCTCAGGGCCTACCCCCATCCACAGCGCCCAGACCCCTCCCCACCCCACCCCCGCCTAGACCGCCGCCCATGGCAGAGCGCCCACAGGCATGCGCCACCCAGGCCCGCAACCCGCCGAGATGCACCGGCGACCCTCGCGCACAGCCACCTGCCGAGACCGCGGCCACCCACGCGGCCGCCCAGGCGCAGCCCGGCCCTCGGCGGCTCGGACCTGGCGGCACTCGGCAGCCTGGCCGCTGCGTCCTGAGCGGCGTGGACCGAGCGCGTGCGGGCGGGGGCGGCGCGCGGCATGACAGGTGTGCGCGGGGGCGCGCGGGGGCGACGGCGGCCGTGGCCGGGAGCCTGGAGCTCCCCGCGTGAGCGCCCCTAGGCGGCAGGTGCGGACCTGGAACGGAGCCGCAGCGTCGCGCAGTGGCAGCCGCGCCAAGCGCCTCGCTGCTCCCCGCCGGCCCCGCCCCCTCCGCGCGCGTCCCTGGCTGAGCGCGACCTCGGCTGCGGGAGGCCTTCTAAGGCAGCGCCGGGTTCCTGGGCTTCTCGGTCGCTCGGCCGCGTCCAGCGGCGGTTCCAGCCCCCATGTGCCCTGGCCAGGCCCGGCCCCAGGGCCTTTGCACCCACATATTGGCGTGGCTCGCCGCCTTCCAGTCTCTGCTTCAACATCCTCTCCTCAGACAGGCGTCTGGGCCATTTGGTCTGAAACAGCCTCCTTCCTTCCCTAGTTTCCGGTCCCTGCAACCCTGCCACAGCCACTTGCCACTTTAGCCTAAGCACTCACTGGGCTCTTTCTGCCTCCACCCTTAGCCCCTCACCCTCATTCTCTTCTCCACCCAGCAGCCAGAACATTCCCTTTATTGAGACCATGTCACCCTCCCACGGCTCTCCATGTCACTCCAAGTCAAAGCATGAGTCCTTATAGTGACCTCTGCCACTGTGCCTTCCTCAACCATGTTGGCCTCCTACCTGGCCCGCAAACACACCATGCAGACACCTGCCGATCTTTGCACTGGCCACCCCTCTGCCCAGAATGCTCTTGCAATAAATAGCTCCCTGGTCCACCAGAGCTCAGCTCCAATGCCCCCCTCCAGCGGGCCTCCCTGCCAATTCTCCAGTACATAACCTGCCATGTCTTCAGAAGGTCCGTCACTGCAAAATCACCTTCTTTGTCAGGTCTTCCTCACCAAAACATCAGCTCCCGGAATGTCTCTGCCGACCCAGCCCAGGGTGGTGCTCAGGAAATAAGTGCTGGGTGACTGAATTCAATCCTTGATCCAGCCCTCGCCCCCATCCAGCCCCACCGAGGATCTGGCACCCCTCCCAGGGTGGGGTGCAGGTGTCCTGGCTGTTGGCAGAGGCACATCCACAGTGTCACATGGGCTCTGCCAAGTTGCAGGGTCCAGGAGTGGCTTGCTGAATGCCAGTCTTCACAGCAATCTGTGGGCCCCTGGCATGACAAAGGCTTCAAGAGGGCCCATGAGGCAGGAAGGACCTTTTTAAAATCATTTTTCCAGACTTCAAATCCCACATGTACTCTATCCAAAAACCAGGAAATGTGAGAAGGCCCCTGCCAGCTCCTGCGCCCTGGCCTTTCCCAATCCCCCTCCCGGTTCCCGGCTGGAGGCCCCAGGGGCCCTGGCACTCAGGAGTGTGGGCTCCAACCCCAGCTGCTCGTCTAGGCGACTGAGGTTTCCTGGGACTCACACCTAAAAAAGAAAAAATAGGAATGGAGCTGGAGGTGAGTGCTGTTTGTGCATACCTACAGTTCGTTATTCATCCGAGTGTCTAATATGAGGCAGCTTTGATCAAGCCAGAAGAAGAAACATTATCAGGGCTCCACTCCATGGTCATGGGTTACAAAAAGAAATGGAATCTATACACATATATTTGTGTTTCAGAGAAGTGTGATGGTGTGAGTAATAAAAGACTGCCCACGTGAAGAGAGATGGCACACGGAGACATCTCTGAGGGCAGCATAGGGAACCAAGGCCAGAAGACAAGGACCCACTTCCAAAGTGGGCAGGGTGGGTGTTGGAGAGGGAGGCAGCTATCAATTCACCAGATGATTTAGTTGCCACTGGCCTTGTGTAAAAAGTGATAGCACAGTTTTGGTTTTAAATGATTGTATTGTGTATGGATGATACACCAGAAATTACATACACCCTTTGCAACTGTTTCAACATCTGTTGAAATCCTATAGACGTCAACTTCAAAATGCATATGTGTGTGTTGGGTGATGGTGGTGAATAAAGAGCTTTTCAAAATCCTTTCAGTGGACATCTTACACAAATATGAACTCGAAATGGATCACAGATGTAAATGTAAAATGCCAAACTAGAAAACTTCTAGAAGAAAACGGAGGAGAAAGTCTGTGTTCCCTTGGGCTTGATGATGAATTTTTAGATACAATATGGAAAACATGATCCATGAAAGAAAAAACAATAAATGGCACTGTAACAAAATTTAAAATGTTTGCTTTGCAGACAACATTATTAATAGAATGAGAAGACACACCACAGGCTGGGAAAAAAATCTTTGCAAAACACACATCTGATAAAGGACTGGTATCCAAAATATACAAAGAGCTCTTAAAGCTCAGCAGTGAGAAAACAAACAACCCAATTAAACAATGGGCCAAAGACCTTTACAGAAGCCTCTCCAAAGAAGATATACAAATAGCAAATGAGCATATAAAAAGATGTTTAACATCACATATCATTTAGGGAATTGCGAATTAAAACCACAAGGAGACACCACAGCTACTAGAATGGCCAAAACCCAGAACACTGGCAACACCTGATGCCGATGAGGATGTGCATTCATTGCTGAGGGGACGCAAAGTGGTGCAGCCACTCTGGGAGGCAGTTGGCAGTTCCTTACAGAGCTTACATGCTCTTACCATACGATGCAGCAATCACACTCCTTGGTATTTACCTGACTAAATTGAAAACTTATGCCTACAGAAAAACCAGCACCTGGATATTTATGCCAGCTTTATTCATGACAGGCTGGAAGCAACCGAGATGTCCTTCGGTAGGCAAATGGATAAACAATGGAATACTATTTGGTGATGAAGAGGAAAGAGCTAGGAAGCCATGCAAAGAAATGGATGAGTCTTAAACACATATTGCTAAGGGAAAGAAAGCAATCTGACAAAAAGCTGCATACTGTATGATTCCATTTATATGACATTCCAGAGAAAGCAAAACCACGGAGACAGAAAAGAGATCAGATCAGTGGTTGCCAGGGATCTGAGAGAGGAGATAGTGTTTGACTAGGAGCAGCGCAGGGGGTTTCTAGGGCAGTGAACCCTTAATATATGCAAATTTAAAATAATGTTTTAGGAGGTTGGGGAAACCCAGGATGGAATGTAGACTGTGATAAAAGAGTCTCACTGTATTAGAAATTTACAAAGCAGCCTCACTGAAGAGGGTTGGGCTGAAAGGGGCACTTTGGAAATGAACTACACATAGCACTTGATCTAGTTGATACAGTCGGTCCCCATGAGGGTATACATTAACAATGCTGAAACCACTCCACCTTCCTGCTGGATCAAACTATCTCTCGCATGGCTGGCCAGTGCTGGGAGCCAGGGTCTTCACTTTTAGACGAGCCGCTGGAGGAGGCTCAAGTGACCCATGTGGTCATGGAGCAGAGCTGTAGACATCAGTGAATATGAACTGGTGTTCAGTTTTTAGTTATTTTTAAGAGAGAGGGTCTCGCTCTGTCACCCAGGCTGGAGCGCAGCGGCATGATCACAGCTCGCTGCAGCCTGGAACTCCTGGGCTCAAGGGAGCCTCCTGCTTCAGCCTCCCGAGTAGCTGGGACTATAGGCACGCATCACCACACCAAGCTAGTGTTTAGTTTAATATAGATACTGATGCATATGTATGTGTTTATAGATATGTGTATATACGTGGGTTAGTACATATATAAATGTCCTTGCTCTGTCAGCAACAGTACTCCAGTAGCAATGAGTGCACCTAGAGCCCAGATCTTAGTTTCTAATACCATTCTCCAAGAAAATGGCTCTCTGGAGAAATGGCTGATTCTAGGACTGGGGCAGGAAACATACAAGATGGGCCTGGGCGAGAAAGTAAGGAAGTACTCAAACCCACATGTACACACGCAGTGAGGAGGTGTGTCAGAGGGACACAGGAGCCAACTGAAAGAGCCCCCAGTGGTCAAAGATGGAAAAGTTGAACAACAAAATAATAGAGTAATATTAGATTATAACCAAAAGTATGAGATAAATATCCATGAATCCATACTCCTACTGTTATAAATAAACGATTAAATCAATCAACGTGGGGAAGTAAACAAAACTCCCAGGTGGAAGAATCCCACATCATTTCTGTAGGAGGCTGCCCAAGACTCCCCACTCCTTAAGCGTCCTTCCCAAGAGTCACTTCACAGTGGGCGGGCCATCAAGGTCACACAGACAGTGATAGCTGCTGAGGCCAGTCTAATGGTGCGGGAATGGCAGGGGCGCCCGGAGCAAGGAGAGGCTGAGAAACTGTCATGGCCAAGAGGAGCCTCTGGAGACATGACGACTAAGTGCCATGTGGGGTCCTGGCTGCGGTCCTAGCACAGAAAAAAGGACACTAAGGAAAAGCTAGGAAAATCTGAATAAACTATGGCTTTAGTTAATAACAATGGAGCAACGTGGATTCAGTAAGTGCAACAAACGCACCCTACCCTGCTGTAGGAGGTTCATCACAGGGAAGCTGGGAGGGGCCAAACTCTTGGCACTTGGAACTCTTGGCACTGTCTGCACAATTTTTCTGTACATCTAAAACTAGTCTGACATAAAAGGTAAAAACCAAACCCAAAACTCCTTTCACAGGGTCTGTGTGAAGGGGCGCAGCTGGTA